CGCGCTTGGTGATGTGAGAGCCTGGTCCGGTGAGAACCCGGCGTGCTCCGTCCCGGCTTTGTAGGGATGCGAGGTCAATGGCCTAACGACGACGGCATGCACGACAATGAGCACACACACACACACACACACACCAGCCACAAAATTATTGCGCGGTGCGACCGATGAACTGTTTCATACTCACTTTGCCCCACCCAGCTTGCAACACCTCAGACACAGGGGGCGTGTACAACACTGGCTGTTGGTTGATCCGAACAACCGCCGTGACATTGAACAGCCGAGATGCCGCCGCCACGGTCCCTCCCCCCCCTAGTGTCGCGTACGACGGAGCTCGCTCCCAGATGGAGTACCTCGGTTGGAAGTNGGGGGGGGGGGGCAGAAGGTGCACGTAAGGCGTGTCAGCTACAATTCTCCGAGCCTGCTCCTCGGCGGCACCAGCTTGATGATCGTGTGGGGATTCCTGCTGCCCGTAGAAGTATGCGTCATTCAGTTGCCACAGTGAGGCCCAAAAACAATTGAGCGAAGCTTGGATATCACGGTTGGCTCGATAGCAGTATACTCGGCCGGCCTCACGAGGATCAGGCTGTTGAAAAGTCGAACGGACAACCTGACGCATTTAGAGAGCGAACACGACAGTCTGCAACGGTGAACACCACCGAGACAAACGGAAAATGTTTCTAGCACTTCGTACGAGGCACTCACTATTTCTTGCCGCGTACCGAGCCAGCAGGGACGAGAAGAGTATTTGGTGGGCGGAAGTGATCGAGCTGGGATCCAGGATAGGATCATCCCGATATGGGTAGGTATAACCTGTAGGAGGGTTCCCAGCGCAGGCGTACGAAGTCGGAACGCTTCACCGAACAAATAGTCTTCAGAGGATGACGAGGAAGATCATTATTGACATGTTCCGTAAGAGGCTGCTACTTTTTTTTTTCGCCCATTTTTGGACTCTGTCGTCTGCCCCTCTGGCCCCCATCCTCCACTCAGCTAGACGACCCAACCGGGGTCACATAGGAGGGGGGGGGCTGGAACCCCTCCGGCGGTTTCTGCCTGAGATATTTTGATGGCGAGGAGGGTACAGTAATCACTTGTTTCCCTCGCGACTTATGAAGTCGATCAAGTTTACTAACAACAAACTTTGCAGCACGTCGCTTCCAAGTTAGACCTGGAATTATTTAGAGTAGTGAGAAAAGATCTGCCGGGACTCAAACCCATGGCCTGGCCCTTAGTGGGCTGCGAGGGTACCCATTAGACCACCGGGGCGACCGGTATATATGTAGAGCTTGGGAAAAATTGGCTGCTCGTGGTTTCTCCAGTGTTCAAGGACAATCTTCTCTCGGCGAAAAAGGTTAACGTTGGGGGTTGATTGGGGCTCTCTCCCTCATCTGCGGCAGAACGTGTCCGTCTCATGGCAAACCTAAAACAGAACGACCGGCCAGGAGGTGCCTATACCAAACCAACCCTTCCACGTGCGAACATTACTAGATCGACGAGCCTGCATCATCAGAGGTAACACGAGTCCTAAAGGGGACCGGGTTGTGGAACAGGATACAGCCTGTTACCTACCGCCGTACACGCTGAGCGGCCACGTCTGTCTCAAGGCCATGTCGCCATCCACCTGCATCGACGCCCCGGCAAGAGCCCCCTGGTGTTGGACGTAGGCCGCAGTGTCCATCTCCACGCGGGATCGATCCTGTCATCACGACCCCAAGGCAGCACATGTCTCTCCATTTTGAGCGACGGTCGACATGCATTTCTCCATATCCTGTGGGAGTCTAAATTTTGACCAACATATGCGAGGCTTCCGAAGAAAGTCCTCGAAAAGGAAGTGTCTGGATGGGCGCGAAACCATTGAACATCTGCTTTAGCCGAGTCAAGGGTATACCCTCCAAAAACATTCAGCACGTTACGGAGCCGTCTCGACCCTTTCCGAGGATACGCTCGCACAAGAAGCGTGTCTAGACCTGAACTCCGCGTTATCTCGAAAATTGTCATGAGATCCAACAGTCGTAGATTCCCAGACGGATAGGCAGACATAGGCCGCAAATTCCTCTACCCTACGGTACAAACGACATACGTAGGTGGAGCCAATGCTTCTCACCCGAAGTCGGGTCCGAAAGAAGGCCAACATCTTCACAGAGTGGACTTGTTCGTCCTCA